GTTAGGAAACAAAACTTCCAAAACATGGCCACACAGCCCGGAAGACCCACACCAGCCATCGTATTCCGGCCGTGAAAGCCTTCGACAATACATCAACCATTTTATTATTTAAAAAGCCACAGAACAGATCGTGATCCAGCCTCTCAAAGGAGCTGCAAAGAATCCCCAACTAGAGTCATGTATGCGAGATGGGTGGCTATATAAATAATAATAATAATAACAACAACAACAACAACAACAATAACTGTAACTAACTGCCACATGTAAAAATGCATCTTTGATCTCACTTGCATCACAAGTATTTTGCAACTTCATCACAACAAAGATTCATTGGGAGTATCATCACCAAAATCTCTATTATGAACAGGAATAATTTTTAGATTTGAAATTTGGGGAATGGCTTTATTTATTATTTTTATTTATTTAATTCAATTTGGACACTGCCTAATTCCAACTGACTCTGTTCACAAATAGTGACATAAAAAGCAGTACAAACCCCAAACAAGATGGCATTGGGCACAACATACAAAGAGAAAGCAAAAGTAACAGGCACACCCACCAAGGGGCCCCATCCATCAAGGTCTGGGAGAACTATCAGATCTTCAAGGCTTTTTGGAATGCCAACAGAGTTGAAGCCACATGGATCTCATTCCACAGGGCAGGCACCATGACAGAGAAGTCACGGTTCCTGGGTCCTGATAGATGACATTGTTTAATTGAAGGGACCTGGAGCACACCAATTCTGCCAGCACATACTGGCCAGGCAGAAACTATGGGAAATAGTCCCTGAAGTGACCTGGCTCTACACAGATAGGGCTCAGGTAATAATTAGCACTTTGAATCGCACCAGGAAGTGGACTGGTAACCAGTGCAGCTCGCAGAGCAGAGGTGTCACACAGACGTACTGAGGCATGCCCATCATTGCCACATCTCTGCATTGTAGACCAGCTGAAGCTTCTGAGTAGTTTCCAAGGGCAGCCCCATGTAGAGCACTTTGCAGTAGTCAAGACTTGAGGTGACTAGGGCATCAATGACTGTCTGAAGGGCCTCCTGATCCAGGTTGTGATTATCAAAAGAGCAGTTGTAAGACTAACCACAATGGAGTGACAGCAGATATATAGTTGGCTTGCTTCTCAAAGCATGTATGCTGAGACACATCCTTACTAGCATTCAGTTATTACTTGCATCAAAATACTAGTCATTTCACTGGAATTTATGTTCAAGTTGATTTGCTTAAGATTAATGTCCTACAGCAAGAGGAGTTTGATTAAACTATTTTCTCTACTTAATTATTTATGGCTAAGTGTCTTAAACTATTTTCAAGTCAAATATATGTGTACCAGTATGATTTTTGCTCAGGCTGAGGTATCATTAATTCAGTTTATATAGCAAACACTCCAGTATAAGGGAAAAAAATGGCTTTTCTGCTTTCTTTTTGGCATGAAAATGTAATTATATATTTCAGTAAGAATGATTTACATATTCTTAGATATTTGTCCAAGGCTGTACTTTCATACACCTTTATCTAGGATTAGCTCCATTGTATTTTACTAGATTTTCTTTCCAACAGAAATACCTAAGACAATACGTTTTGGCTGAATTCTATACACACTTTCTTAGGTGAAAACACACTGAAGTCAGTGGGGTATATTTCAGAATAAATCTGTACAGGACATTTTAGTAAAAGAAAAAGAGGAAATAATGGTCCTTTATTTGAATATCCTGGGCTGACTCCAATATGTTCTCATTTGAACTTTAAGCTAAAGCACCTAAACATAAATGTATCTTTACAAGCAATTTGTTTTGGATAATAACAGCAATGCAAGGATATAATGCACGCTGGGCTCAGGCAGGCAAGGTAGAAGAATGGAACCTCCATCCTGGATGGGTCTCCTAGATCAGTATTTCTCAACCTGGTCAACTTTAAGATGTGTGGACCTCAATTCCCAGAATTCTCCATCCAGCATTCTGGGAGTTGAAGTCTACAAACCTTAAAGTTGCCAAGGTTGAGAAACACTCTCCTAGAGTGTACTTATATCATACAACACTTCCTTGATTTAAATTTAAGTTTGTAGCTACTCACGTTTGAGAATATTCCTCTGCTCTAATTCTTCAGCAGTTGGTCTCTGGCTCAGCCGTCTGTAGAAAAATCCCAATATCAGTTTTTGTACCATATCAGGACCTCCAGCCTTCAATATTTGCCAGAGTCACTCTTCATCAGATAATGCAAAAACTCCGGAAATGACATTGTTCCTACATAGATACGGATATTACTGAGCAAAACATACACTTGTACTTTCCTTTATTGCCAACCAAAGGGAAACCAAACATGTTGTGTCATATTAGGCATTCCCCTTCAGGCTAATTGATGGACAGTTATATGAGGCAGATATCTTTTACTCAATTTCCTTCTTCCTATGACAGCTTCCTGAGTCTCATGAGTATGACATCAGTTCTGTGTTCCTCATTGTATGAGCCTCCAAACTGTGTAGAGATCATAACAATTCAGAGAAACTACCAGGCATGGTAACTATGCTCAGAACAGGGCTTCTTCTTTGCTCCTCAGATCCTGTTTTCCACCTAAAAATCTGTCTTTAGATTCTGGAATAAAACCTGGAGCAGGATGGAAGCTGAAATGAGATGACCTCCAGCCAATAGGATGGTCATAAGAAGGTTACGGGTGGCTGCCTTAAAGTAAAAATAGAAAGCTGTCCACCATGACCAATAGTGGTCATCTTGTACAAGGATTCCAGCCTGCCAATTCAACACAGCTTTTTCTATCTATTAATCAAAAATCATATTTAAAAACAAGTCTCCTGATAGCTGAGAATATATCGTGAATAAAAACGTATCTCTTCTGATTGTTTTTGTTTCCTAGCTCAAGAATATGAGGAACCAGCGTGGTATAGTGGTTAAGCTGCTGACTAGGAGTGGGGATTTCCCCCTCTTAGCTATGGAGACTCATTGGGTGACGTTAGGTGGTCACTCTTTCTCAATCCAACCTATTTCGCAGGATTGTTGCCATGGGAGAAATATCAGAGGAAAGAGTGCTCAGTGCCACCTTGAGCTTCTGGTGGAAAGGGGGGATAAAAATCTAACAAATAAACACGATAAATCACCAACCAGCCTTCTGTCAATGGAAACAGTGAGTAATTCACAGTATACAGTAGTTGGAAAAGGCACCATACTCCTACAAGATCCCAAAGGATATTGTTGCACTATGAGCACAGGGAACCAGGGCCAGTGACCCATTTCTCTGCATGCATCTTTCTCTCTTTAGGCTGCATTTGCACAACAACCTTTTAACCAGGTTACTGACTGAACTTATTTTTTGAATTTGCCCAATATACTGAACCATAAACTAAAGAAGTTTGCATGACAGGTGTACCACAAAAATAAAACAACAAAATAGCAGTAACAACAAAAAATAAGGCTAAAACTAACCAGTTTTACCTATTGTGCAAATGCAGATACAAGGTCTTTGTCTGACCTGGTTAATGATATAGTGGGAACACAACTGCAGTGTTCCATTGTGGCATCTGTGGGCCAAATCAGATGTCAGTTTAAATGCTTGTTTGCTGCCACATCTTCTTCCTTTTCCTTAAGCTAGAGCTCAGTACTCTACTCCCACAAGACACACATTTAACAACTGTTAGATGACTGTTGTGTTTTAAATGGAGTATTTCAAATTCACGCCTCATTCATTTTAATAATCAGAATAAATTGATCCCAGGCCTTACAATCAATCAGAGATGGAGATGTTATTATAACATCTAATAGGCTTCCTGTTTGTGATGACAACTTCTTGTTTTATGCTGAATCTAATTTTCATCTACCAGCATCTCTGCTAATGCTTTCTTCTGAGCTTAAAGCAACAGGAGAAATTCTTCAAAAACATCTAAATCAGTTTTCTTATGAAGATGGAGAGGTCTAGTTGAAGGCAGATGAGTATGATTATTGTCTATGGAGTCATGTATTCAAAATGTTTGTTGTTCCAGCTGGAATTAATGTAGTTAATTTAGTCAGCTGGCTGTTCAGAGACTTCAGGGACTTTCTTCAGAATGCTGCAGTCTCTTTTTGTTATGTTAAACCTTCTTTTTATTTTGTTTATATTGGGATACTGGGACCATTTTATGCCTTTTACATTTAGCTAAGAGTGGAGGTGTGGAATGTTGAATTGTGTATGTTAACTAATGTTAATATTTTAGAGCTCTGTTTGGACTTTTTGTTGAGAATTGGATGGGAGAAGAGCTAATTTACTCGATTTGCCTATTGTTAAGAGATGGGTTATGAGATGAAGAGTTTATATTGATTAAATGAGAGGAGGTGAAGAAATTATGGAATTATTTATACTTGTCATTATGAGGGTGGGAAATCCCTTTTTTTGGGGGGGGTTGTTTTCTTACACCTTTTTTTCCTTCTCTCTTTTTTTCTTCCTTGTATTTTTTGCTTATATTCTTTTATTGTTTTATCTAAAACTTTTAATAAAATTATTGGGAAAAAAAGAATGCTGCATTTCTATTATTAAAATTGTTAACCGCAATCACACTTTGCATTTCAACTGTTCTCAGAAGGCTATAAAGTAATTTTTAAGTTTTTCTTCACTCTGCTTCTAGTGAATATTATCTTTAATACTAAACTTCTAACACAGGTAAAGAAGTTTAGAATGCCAACAATAATTCTCTATGAAAAAAGCTTTGGAGGAATAATATTAAAGAAGGGTTTGAAGTCCTCTTCAAGCAAGAAGTGCAAACTTTGGGGTACAAGGATGAAAAAGTAGGAAGAGATTGATGGAGGAGGGAATGTTAAACAAAAATTACTGGTGCCTCCCACTTTGGGCAGTAACATCTCCATTACTGGCTACTATCCCAACCAATGAGATCTGGAGGGCCTCTTGTTCCCATCACGCCTTTGCATCAACTGAGGATCTTTATAGTCTAGCACAGTGTTTCTCAACCTTGGTGACTTTAAGACATGAGGACTTCAACTCCCAGAATTCCCCAGCCAGCATGCTGGGTTGGGAATTCTGAGAGTTGAAGTCCACATGTCTTAAAGTCGCCAAGGTTGAGAAACACTGGTCTAGCAGCATTGTTATGTATGCTTTAAATGTCTGAGCACAGGTTGTTGGTTTTTTAAAAAGAATCTCGCAGCCAAAGTTAAAATAACTTGAAGTGATATGACACCTGAAAGGCTGAAACTGAAAATGGAAATACAACATAAGCTGTTATATTTCCTTCTTCGTTTTAAAGGTAAACTCTCAAACAGAATGCCAAAAGTTCTTTGTAAGCTTTATTAGACACAATCCTACAGAATTATATGAAATAATTAAATAGCAGGGTAAATTATTCTTTTCTTTGGCTGGATTTTGCGTATTAGGAATGTGAGAGAAATTTGATCAGTCCACATCTTAATACAAAAACTTTTGATTCAGTAAAGGAACTGAAGCTTAGATAGCCTTCACATTCACTCATAATTGATTTTTGTTTCGGTGCACTCATAGTAATAATGTATAAAAATACATTAGGAAAAAACTGCTTGCAAAATATGTATTAGGGAAGATGAAACGTACAGAGTTTCCTATATAAACTTTATTTGCATTAGCTTTAATTTCAGACTAAACTAATGTATTTATCATTCCTAAATGTGAGGCTGAAAATAGCTTGTTCTGGTCACCTTTCCAATTTATTATTAGTGAAGCAGAACAAAAGTAGTAAACTAAACTTCTCTAAAACACTTGCTAGTTGTAACTAGGTAAATTGCCCACATTAAGGCAAATTAAGGCTTTTAACTATCTGGGGGTCATTTTTCAATCTTCTGCTGTGTGGAGGGAACAAATAAATGCTACTTCTGATGGTCCTGTAATATAGTTAATGTAATTCTGCATTTGAGAGTAGCGGGGTGGGGGTGGTGGGGGGTACCATTTTGTGCCTGCTGCTATAAATAACTTCAAAGTCAAGGTGAGCAATCTCCTCCACTATGACTCACAGATTTGCAATTTAAAGATCCAAGTCTTCTAGAAGCAGTGCAAACTACATTTCTAAGAGAGATGCTGAGTCTCTTAATGTACTTCCAATTTCCTTCTGAATTTGGAAGTCAGGCTGTCCCCTTTAGAGGCTCCAATGAGATTTTACTGCCTTAAATCCTGGCCAAAACTGATTTCTAATGATGGATCTTTGATTTCCTTGAATCTGCTAGAGGGCTTCTCATCGTCCTGGAAGAAAGAAGGAATAGAACTGAAGCAGTTTATCAGCCTAATACTTTATCTCATTGGGGACCAGGAGAGCCAATACTGAAGCTGAGCTGAAACAAAAGGTTTTTGATACTGATCTCCCAAAAAATCAGAGGACAACTCCCCTTTTCAGTGGTGGTGGTTTGTCAGGTAACTATTCAACCCAGCCAATTACTTAGTTAGCATCTCATGCCTCTCACACCAAACAGCCTTTCTTTGACTAGGCTTAACACTCTGTCATCTATGTAAATGGAAGAGAGATACAGCAACATCCCAGTGCAAGACCATTTCTGCTTTGCCCATTGGGGGAATCTGAACCAATCATGCATGTATTATTCTGCTGTCCTATTATTCAGTTTAGTAAACTGACCTAATAACTCCCCTGTCATCGAAGCCTCTTGGTAGGTTCACTTGGGAGAACTCTTGCTTTTCACTTCCTGGCCTCTTGCTAGAAATCCCCAGAAGGGTGCAAAGTTCTGTTTTGTGGTCACTGCAGTCTGGAGGCTATTGCTACAGATTTGTTTGCCAACTGTATACACGTATGATGTTATGGAAACGCCCTTTCAGTTTATCTGCCTGGGAACTGCATCCCTTTTTCCAATTTCTGTTGGTGCCGAACAGGGAAGTCTAGGGTTCGTCTTACCTTGTCAGCTTGGTGCCAATCTGCTGCCTGAGCTCCAGCCGCTCCTCATCGGTCTGCATGGGGAGGATGTTCTTCTCCTCCAGCTCACGCTTAGATGGCCTATTGCTCAACTTGATAGCTAAAGAATCTTTTCTGCAAACTTTCATTGCCAGGGAACCTTGGATAGAAAGAATCACGTTCAATTTAACTGTTGCAGCAGAGTCACAGGAGCTTGTGTTTTTACTTCCTCATCTGCTTTTAAGACCTCTACCTTCACAGAAACGTTGAACGTTGAACGAGAGAGCCCATCTCAAAAGCATTTCCACTCGTTTAGTGTGTTCTCTTATGAAGGTGAATGTTTCAGTGCTAAGTATAATATTATCTCATCCCTCCATGAATGCAAAGTGAATGATTTTGTATGGGAGACAAGTGTTGTGCATATGGAAGTGGCCTCAAGGTTCCAGTCTCAGCTAGCAAGACGGCTCTTGTTCAGACACAAGACTTTCTACTATTGCCATCCCAAGGGCAGAAGAGAGCAGCAAACCTGACAGGCCACTGAAAGAAAGCAACCGTGGTTTGGAAGAAGGATTGTGGGAAAGGAAAATGGGGTAAATGCTCTCCTCCCTGCCTCATGGTCCTACATTCAAGGAACTGATATTCCCTTTCCTGTAAAGTGAAAGAAAGCTGTAATGGTAGAAAAGCACAATATAAATAACAAAACAAATAAAAATTGGTGGGCATCAACCTACAGACATGAAGAAGAATGGGTAGCATACGCTTCTCCCTCCGTTTAATGCTACCTCTTGCCAAACCCATTATATCCGGCAAGAACATTGTTAATGAGCCCTATCACCTGAGACATTTCCTTGCTTCTGCAGTGGGCCATGTTCCCATGACATCAAGCTTAAGCAATTGCTGCTTCGTTGGATATTGTTCTTCAATGCCAGATTTGTTTCACTTTTTTTTTTTTTTTGTGGTGTGGCAAAGGGATAAGACTGTCATATTTTTGCTACTGCATCCTATATTTGCAGCTAGGGAAACAAGGAGGCAGAGCAATAAAGCAGACAGAAAGAATTGGATTGTATCCTCCAATTCCGTTGCAGCACAGACCTATTTTTCTTTTTCTGAGATCTCAGGCTGTAAAGCAACATGCCCAATGCTATTTGGAAGATGATGAGAATCAGTGGGTCAGGAAAGGGAATGGACTTGTCAGGAGAAAAGATAAAGTACAGGAATGTATGACAAGCCTCAGTAATTGAGGGAAAATCTCCATATTATAGATTCTGGGTGAATGTTATGTTTTTGTGCACTGAAAATATGTAGGGTATAAGGAATGTGGGGCTACTGTCAGCAACTGGCATCCACAAAGAGCCATGGGGTTCTAGGCTATCACAGATATCTAGATTAGCCCCTTGGAAAATGTTCCACTTTATCTCAGAGTACTCCCCCTCCCAGTTGCTCAGGACATACGGTGGTTCCAAGTCTTCTAAGCCAGGGGCTTTCAAACTTTTTCAGAGCACAGACTCCTGAAACCCTACTAGCGATAGACAATTGGGTGCATTCAAGTCACTTTTTTGGAGGGTCCTTAGTCTTTTATGGAACCTCCATCAAGTACTCGCAGAACCCTAGGGTTCTACAGAACAGACTTTGAAAAACTAAGCAACTTGTCTTTTCTAGCAACATTTGAGCATTGTTACTGCTCACCTTCATTCCCTGACTGCTACAACTGGTATATAATACTTGGTCTGGCAGAAGCAAGAAGCTGAACATCTTTTCAAAGCTTTGCAAATCTGCATATCAATATGCAAGGATATAAACATGAGTCATCAAACCTTTTCAGGTTTTGTTCAATCCCGCTGTGCTGCAATATCACCTGAAATCTTGTAAGATCATCAAATGTTATTCTCCAAATGTTATTCTCTGCTAAGATTGGAAAAATCTCACAAGATTTGGTGATCTCTTTCATTTAGTTCAACTGCAACAGTCACTTTAGGAGTTATGAATGGACTCATAGATGGGTTGATGCTCTGTAGAAGAGATCAAGAGAAAATTATACATTTCCTGATCTATCACTTTTATTTGCATATCTGGACATGTTAATTCCCAGAAGAATTCTTGCATTCTTAAGGTAAGGTTTTCTCATATGCTTTATTTCCCATACAGAACTGTTTCACCACAGGAAAGTTAGCCGTATGAGAACCAGGCAATGTTTTCTCCTTGTGATCCATTCAAAGCAGTTGCAAGAATCAGCGCTGCTTTCTCTAGCCTGTATGAAAAGAACAAATGTTTAGTGTGACTTGTAAATAATGAGCTTTGCTTACTTGAAAATAATGAGCTGTCATCATCTTCCTCTTCCTCCTCATCCTCTTCTTCTCTTGTATAGAGGCATGAAGAATCGCCAAAGTCAGATTCATGAGGCACATTTTCTTTATTGTCATCACATTCGATCACAACCGTTGGCACCTGTCTCATGTCTGAAAGGCCTCCAGGTCCAGTCTTTGTGATGCTGTCACCCCCATGTAAACTGGAGCTTTAAGAGTAAAAAAATAATAGAGAAGAAGATGACATAGCATCTTAGAATCAAATGCTATGTCAGCATCTTTCAGGTTAAAACAGAGGCAACTATAGAGCAACTTTGGATATACTGAGCTTGGACGCTTGTAACAAAGGTGATGATGTACTCCTGGAAGAACATTTGTGTGACAGACTAAAAGTTGGCTTCAATGTGTCAGCTTTCAGCCTTCGAATTAGCTGTTTATGGTCAAAGTTCAATCTGTTGCTTAAAAACCAAACCGTAATGATGTTCAAAAATGTAACTTCAATACTCAAAAAACCTGACCCTATTTTTCCTCTTTTTTCCATATCTATCTCTATCTCACTTCTATCTCTACCTCTGCTTTTTAAAAGTTTTCTATGCTTAGTTGTTTAGGTTTTTTAAATGGTTTTTTATTTCTTTCCTTCTCTTCTTTATCCTTTCTAGCCCCCCCCTCCCGTTTTTAAAGCATATACTCTATTATATAATATTTTGGGTTTTTTTGTTTTCTAGAGTAAATCATCCTTTATACACTGAGAACATAATTAGATACTTTTACATTTTATATATTTAATAATTTTTTTAAAAAAAGGTGTCACATTTTTAGAGCAATGAGGATGGTGTAACAGCTCTCTACTGTTCTTATTCTTGTGCAATGGATTCTGAAAACATCAGATTGGTAAAATGGCACTGTGATTTTAATATGAGATGGGAAAAGTTACCTGAGAAGAACCAGCTACATTGTTAGTATTACCAACTTAGACAATGAATAAATATATAAATTAGAAATAGGCAGTCTGGTATCCTCCAGATTTTATAGGTTACCAAACCTTTCCAATTGTTTATGAGGGACATCAAGTTCCTTATCTCTGATATAAATAAATAAATATACATGTCAATAAGAAGTGCATAAACCTTTGGAAATCTGCCTGAAGGGACAAAACTCTTCTATGAATCACAATGGTGCCCTCACACGATAGACTTCCCCCCACACCGGTGATTGCTCCTTAAGTGATACGCCTTTATCCTTATACTGCACTAGTATAAATAAATTTTGCCTTTTTCCAGAGAACTCTTTGTATGCATAAAATATTTTTAATAAATCCAACAAAATAAGCATTTAAAAATATATCCCCTACCACTAACTAAAAAGTAGCCAAATGGGCAAAAAGACAAAGTTAGATTTGTCTAGAGACATCTTCATTAGACATCTTCATTCTACAGGTAATCCTTGACTTACAACCACAATAGGGTCCAGAAAATTCATCATTAAGTGGTGCGGTTGTTAAGCGAGGCGTCACGTGACCGCACCCAATTTTACAACATTTTTTGCGGCAGTTGTTAAGCGAATCATGCAGTCGTTAAATGAATCATGCAGTTCCCCATCGTTTTTGTTGGAAGCTGGCTGGGAAGGTCACAAATGGTGATCACGTGAACCCGGGATGCTGCAGCCATCGTAAATACACACCAGTTGCCAAGCACCCAATTTTTGATCACATGATTGTGGGGATGCTGCAACAGTCTTAAGTGCAAGGACCGGTTGTCACTTCTTTCAGCACTGTTGTAATTTCAAACTGTCACTAAACAAATGGTTGTAAGTCAGGGACTACCTGACACATGGATTGTTTGGTTTGCTCTTTGTTAGAGTGATGGCTATTATTAGGAGATCATTTCATGCCTATATTTCCAAGTGAAGGGCACACAAATATACAGTTTGCAGGCAACTTGCCAAATTCCTGCCTTCTATCTCCTAGATCCATTTTTAAAAATTGTATTACTTTTGTATGTAAAGAAATAAGCTAACGCTGCTTGTGAAAGTTTCTGCACTATTAATGATGCTATCAGATTGAGGTTTTTAATCCTTTGGTCCCATATATTATATGTATTCATTGAAATCACATATAAATATATATGATTGCTTAGACTTCATCTCTTCACTGTCTTCAGCAGGGCTTACACCACTGCTTTGTGCTGACACATATATCTTTATATGGTTGACACTGATGTAGACATATATGGTTTCAAGAAATCTCAATCAATGCTTGATGCAACCAACTTTACAATCTGTCTTTTGGGATTAATTTTTCCTTTTAGACCAGCAAGACTGTAAATGGCAATGCTGTCAAGAACATCGACAAGAGACACTGCTTGGCATAATTGACCTCTTAAAATAAATGCATCTCTTTTGAAAATCTACACTAATCTCCTCAGAGACAAGCACGTTTGCCAAAACAAAACAAAAGAAATTTAAAATGCATCAAGACATGTCGGTTTTACAGAGGCTTTGTCCGCATGCTGTATGAAAAGGGCAACTGCTTTTTCAGATGAAGACCACCATCAGCAGTTTAATCTCCCAAGGATGAAGTTAACAGATACCACTCTGACAGTGACAGCAACTGAATAACTGGCCTATCATTTTGATACCCAAGTTTCCTGCTTTGGGATTATGGGAAATAGATGTGCCACTTTTGCACCACTTCCCTATCCTTCAGCATCTCCCTGAATTCCCAATTTATGAATTATTAACAGAGCAACATGCAAGTTTATTCAGAACTAAAGGAGTATGTTGGATTTAACCTAACCTTGAACAAAGTACATTGCTTCATATTAAAAAAAAAAGTAAGGTAAAGTAGAATCCCTACAAAATTAACCCAAGCCAAAAGGAAACTTTTGTAAATCTGAAAGGTAGATGCTGTGCCTACAAGCAGTTTCCATTTTTCCATAAAATGCAGGCTAGGGAGATGAATGGAGTGGTATGGAGTCAAGGGCCTGAAAATGACATCTTCCAATTACAGAGCAAGTTCATCAGTGGGGACTTCAAATGCTCTCTTGGAATTGTATAGTCCTGCAAAGGTAAAGGTTCCCCAGGTAGCAGGATCCCCCAACTTGTCCCATCTGCTTGCTCATTTATCCCATCCAACTTCCTCACTCTAATGGAGGGTGCAGGCCCCATCATCAGGGCTCTGGAAACAGCCTTTGCTTACAATAAACTTGGACAAACTTAAAAAACAAAACAAAAAGGACATGGAATGACCATTGCAGTAATTAGTTCATTCTGAATGGCCATTAGAACTTTTTGCAAGAATTTAGGAACACCCTGTAGAACAAAATACTCACTTACATAGAAGTCTTTCCAATGATGTAATTTAATTTTATCTACCATCACCCACCTTACCAAGCCCTTTGTCTCTATTTGTCTGGATGGCTTATTTTATAAATCAGTACTGTTCAATCTAAGCCCCTGCGAAGGGCCTCTGGAAAGAAGCGGGAAGCAACGTTGCCTCTCACTTAAGAGTCTGCCAACAACCAATAGGATTGTTAATATGACTCTAGATTGTTTGCTGTGTTTGAAAGATGAATCAAATCTTCATGGCTATATCCCCACTATTTGGAATCTATCAAAACATCAAGAATTCCTAAATCAGGGGGCCTTCACTCATGCAGTGGTTGCCTGGGAACTTGACTACTGCAACATGCTCTACATAGGGCTGCCCTTGAAGACTACCCAGGAGCTTCATCTGATCCAGAATGCAGTGGCATGGGCAGTGATGGGCATGCCTCAGTATGCCCATGTAACACCTCTGCTTTGCAAGTTGTACTGGTTTCTGGTTGGCTTCTAGGTTCAATTCAAGATCCTGGTCATTACCTACCTATAAAGCTCTACATGGCCTAGGCCTGGTTACTTGAGTGACCATCTGTCTCCCCTAAAATCTGCCCAGCTGATTCAATCCAGAGGATTGATGCATTCTGGGTTCCTTCTAGCAGGACCGCAGAAGCACACCCTCTCTACAGCAGCACCTGCCCTCTGGAATGAAGTTCCCCTCGAGACCCAGGTGATCCCTCCCCTGCTGGTGTTTTGGAGGGCCTTGAGGACCTGGCTCTTCACCCAGGCTTTTGGCAAGGGTGAGTGAAGCCCCCTTCGGTGTAATTTGCAATCCTTTATTCCTTGTTTTACTCTTGTATTGTTTTACTGGTTTTTTTCCCTATATTTTTTACTTGTGAACTACCCAGAGTCACTGGGAGCCAGGTGGTGTACAAATTTTAATAATAACAATAACAATAACAATAACAATAATACACTTTCCTATTCCAGGTCCTTGGGAAAGAGTCAATAGGTGGATAAAAATGCCAAATCCAGTCTAAACATCTGGCTGACTGTATGATTAATAATTATAATAATAATGTATTTTTCAGGCATGGGGACTTCGTAAAAGAAATATCATATCAATTTGTAGGGAGAAATACATGTCTGATTTTGAGCAATAGATTGATACATTTTGTTTGTCAACTTTTGAATTATGTGTGTGTGTGGGGGGGGGGTTTGTAGTTAATTGTTTTATTGTATTATAAGATGCAAATAATACATTATAGAATTCAGATATTAACTTGGTACAGCAGTAATTGTATACTTTAAACCAAACATTGTTGACACTATAATAATTTAAATAATTTAAACTTTTAAAAATAATAAGAAAAAACTTTCTATTAAGTATAATTCTGAGATATTAATGAACTTATGGCTGCTTAAATTGCACAATTAAAGCTAGGTGTGGCACTATTGTGAGATGCATTGAATTATTTTGTAATATAAGGATTTCTACCTTTAGCTTCATAGTTAATACTGTGATCGCCACTCTATTCCTTGTTATTATTTATGAATGTTAAAAAGAAGAAAAAAAGAAAATAAAGGGCGTGGGGGTGGGGAAGGAAAAAAATTAAAAAGTTGCTTGGAAACCATACTGTGATGGTATTTGCCTTGCTGCATGATGTATTGTATACATGGAAGCCAAAGCCAGGGTTTTTTAAATCCGCTCGTACCTTGCTGAATTAAGGCTAGTTTTCTTTCTCCAAGAGTGGCCAGCCAGATGCTTCTGGGATGTTTACAGAAGAGAGACTTATAGAGTTATTTATTCAGAGGCCTCTTTCCTATGTTTATCATAGCTGATTGATGCAGGAAGAACAGGAAGTATTAATAATTTGAAAAAGATGTCGAAAGACTGCATAAGAAGGCCAAGGCTGTCCAAATTGGAAAGAAATATATTAAATGAATAACAGGCGAGTCCTAGCCAGAATGACCAGTGTTCAGTGATGCAGGGATATGTAGTTGCCCATATTTAGTAAACTTCAAGTTGAATTTGACTCTTGGTGACTTCGTGAACGAATCTGTATAATTTTTCGAACAATAATATGAAAATGGCTTGTCATTCCCTTGTTCTGAGTTTTTTTTCACGGTCTGTCATCCAAGCAGTACCAAGTCTGACCCTGCTTAGCTATTGGCAACCAGCCAAGTTTGTCCTGCTGCCACCACCAAGCTTGGTTTTCATTTAACAGCCAAATGAAAGATTGAGCTCTTAACTAGGACATCACCTCTCACTTCTGCTACCATGAAGGTTTTAGGTAAGCCGTTTTTATCCATCTAAGGCTGCAATTCCTGTAAAGCCCCATCAAATTCAGTGGGAATTACTTCTTAGTATCCAGAGACTGACTGACAGTGCCAGTCTCTTATCAGCAAAGCAAGAAAAAAGATCCTGCAAAAGGGCTGTTGTAAAGATGACTGAAATTATGCATAAGAACTATTCTACAGCATAGCACAGATTTTCAACATTATAATCTTTGTGCAGACAAGCAAATACATAATATTTGAATCTGAATGGCAGGATTATCTTTGAACCTGCACTTTGTTCTTTTCCTTTACAGTTGTGGGGTTAGGATCAGATTAGGGGTAAAGTAAATTGTATATGAATACAATAACACTTTTTTGTTATGTAAATAGTAGACAAGATGAAACTTGAACAGCCTCCAGTTTCTGTTGAAATTCAAATAGCGTTTTTTATGTAGATCATGTTGTATGGGGAGAGGGAGGGAGAGTGTATTACATTGTGCACAATTGCAAGGATAAGTAGGTTTCCCTTTGGCTCCTGGTTCTCAGCAAGCACATGAGAGTGCTCAGCGTTCTCTGACATATTTCTTTCATGGGGACCACTAATTACTCTGTATTCTCTTTGAAAGGACGGAAGCAGTTGCCATCTGATTGAATCTTGTCTAATTAATGTCTTTTCTAAGCTGAGGGTGCACAAGTGTAATGAAATACGATTCCAATCTCACCACAATTTATGATTACTAAGAAGAACAGGGCTAGTCAGAGCCCTGACATGATATTTTAAATGAGCCCCATTAAACCCACAGCTGCAAATCCGATGTTTCCCAATTCATGATTCTTGGGAAAGAGTGAGCTGCCACACCAAGCCCACAAGCCTTTCATTTTGGAGAGTTTTGTCTCCACTACAACATTAAGTGTTGCTAACGTATACCATCTCATAAGAAAAAAAAAAAATCCCAAAACACAAATCACTTATTTATCGGTCACGGTAGTTCCTAATCTGTGCTTCCAGACAACTGATGGGCTGCAAGACTGCTGCAGGTAATGTTACAAGCATAATCTCTTTCCCACTGGGAGGTCTACTGCAGATAAATGTACTGAGATGAATATAATAGATATGGAATTGAGTGTAATACATTGTTAAAAATGTATCTGCATTTTAAATTCCCTCTGATATATAAAATGGGCTGAAAAACATTTTCGATGACAACTTCATGAAGGAAGAGCTTGGGAACAGCTGGTCTAGTACTACGTACGGAGCATCTACTAAGACTGCAGTTGACAACAGGAGACTAATTGCAGCAGACTTTCCTTCCATAAATTATATAGGGATGATTAGTAAAGCACCTGGGAGCAACTACTGTCTTTGCATGACGAGCCAGGAATACGAAACAACGCTTTGCTATTTCATGGCCCACCCATCTAATAATTATTTGTTTCCTTTTTTTAAAAAAATGAACACTGTATATTAAAAATAGCCTGATCTAGCCTAATCTGAATAATGATCATGATGATTATGATATTCAGAACCACCAACGCATAAATATTGATATACAAAATAAAGGCAGTAAGGGTAACTGTAGCCATTTCCTTCAGCACCTTAATCAGGTCTGACCCATCGGAATAGATAGACGCACATTGTTAAAAAAATAAAACCAGCAAATGAAATGAGAAGAAGCAGAAAATATGTGATGCAGAAGTGATTCCAGTTTGTAACAGTGCCTGTAAATGTATTAGTATCAAACAATTTTCAAAGAAGTGTTAGAGAAATTGGTCCCCAAATTGCTCTAGCCTCTAAAAAAAAGCTATTACCTCAAAGATCATGGAAATCTGTCTAATTTGTATATAGTCTACAACATTCAAAGCATTTACTTTAAAATAACAAATGCAAGCCCTCACTGAATATTTACCTAGAAAAAAGAAATTATGGGGATGATAATAACTGTATCATCGAGATATGTAATGTAGCAGAATAGAATCTCAAAATTTCGATATATAAATTACGTTTACTTCGGTATTAAAAGTAACCATTGGCTATGCTCAAAGAGGTCCATTTCTATCGTTCCTGATGGACTACATTCCTTGGTATCTACCTCTAATGGGAGATCAAGTCAGACCATTGAACTATCTAGCCCAGCATTGTCAGTACTAATTGAGAACAACTCTTCAAGGCTCCATGCAGGTGTTTTCCAGCTCTATCTGCATTCCAGTGCCCTGGGTACCGCATCTTTGCATTATGGATGCTTCCAGCGCAAGGAATGATCTGCACTGATGCTCAGGTTACCAGGAAAAAGGCAAGGCCAAAACTATGAATTTTGAAAAGATTCAGCCCTTCTGTAAGTAAACAGTTTGGGCTCATCAGAAGAGCCTTGTTGGATTTGACCAGAAACCTATCTAGTTCAGCACCCTGTTTTCGGTGGTGACAAACCAGACTCTGGAAACCATCCTGCTCACAAGAGATTGGGGTTTGTTAGTCGAGTTGTTTCTCTTACACAAGCTTTCTCCCTATGCACAGAGTTGGGATGGTCGAGTTACCTTTCTAGCCGCTGCATGGTCATGCTCAGTGTTTTATTCAATTCCTCGATCATGCGGCATCCTGAAGGGTGCATGGGTAACGTGCTGGATCCAGAAGGCAAGTGTGGGCTGTGGCTGCCGTACTGATGCTGGTGTGCTGCTAATTGGGATGGTAGGACTGTGTGATGATGTGAAGTCAATGGTTGCTGAGAGTTCTTCTGTGTGGAATAGGATGTGAGGGAGAGGTCGGGTCCCCCTAAAGGCATGCAAATCATGACTTTCTTTGGAGGTAGTGGAGGCGATAGTTTGACCGGCATACAAGGCAGCTTCATTGGAGCACCAGGATCTTAAAAAAAAACAAAACAAAAAGTTTGAGAAACTCAGTTATGAGCAAAGATGGAAAAAGGCACCCAGATTCCACAGCCATTGAACCATCCTATATTGAAAGCCTTTTTCTCATGCACTTCTCATGTAGTTGCAGTAGGTATGAGAGATTACCATATACATCATGTCATCCTTCCTTGTTCAATCTATATACTTCAATCAAATCTGTATACAGATCTGAAAGACTTGATTGAAGCCCCTGGAGATTCTCCAAAATTTGCCACTGAATTGCAAGTTGTAACAGGGCAGAAAGCAAAAATATTTAAATGCTAAATATTTAAGGCTAAATATAAGGGTTAATTATATTTAGACAATTTATTAGATATCAATTCTATTCTATTTACATTATATTATTATTACTTTTGTTCTGGCCCCATTTGTTTATTTTCACCCTAGCAATTATTGGAGTGAGGCCTCAGGTATGCAACTCAAGCACACAGCAGGCTTCAGTCCTCCAGAAGTTGCACATTTCTGATCTATGTGGCTGCAATATTCTCAAACATAATGGATCTCCATTGTTGCAAACATCATTAGTATAAACATCACACTGAAATTTCATCATTAGTAAGTTAGATTGGTACACTACCAGGGGCCTCAGCACTGTATAGTATAAACTCAAAAACAAAAGTAAACATTTCTAATATTGGAATCGATGCTTGCCCAAATGTTTTTGCATGGAAGATTGTGCTTGTAAGTCAGCATGCTCTAAAATGGCAGAGGATGCAACTCACATTCTTAAAATCCACATCAATCTGCAGGCAAGCCAGTATTGTCTTGTCAATATTTCTGCAAACTATTTTTGAAGAGCCAGCGTGATACAACGTTACAAAGTTGGATTCAAATCTTCATGCAATCTTAAATCTTACTGGTGGCTTACTGCATATTCTCATCTCTGTTTTTTAATACCACAAAACATGGATGCTTTATTTTATCAAGAATTTTTGTATGTATCAGCACAGCCCAGTAAACCGAATGTGAGCTAATTTCCTTGGAAAATCAAAATTGATAATTAGGATTGGAGAGAGAAAACAGAAAGCAGAGAAATTTGTTCAAGATTTGCATGGTTTATAGGGCACCCACAGTTTAGCCCTTGCAATGACAGTAATAGATGATCACATTTGAAAGCATTTAATTATTATGTGAAATCCATGCAATTTGCTGAGAAATTACCCAGAAACATGATTTCATGATATTGACAGACTGAATTCACTGTATTATATCTGGGCAATCTACATGGCCACTCAGTTGAAACTTCTAATACATATGCACCTACAAAGATCATTTGAAGAGACACAGAGGCAAAGAGGAATAAACTGGAACAAATCCTATAACAGTTTTTCATATGTTACCTGTGGGAAAGGAGAGGATGATTTTTTTCTGATGCTTGTGAATGTCGTCAAGACCAGAAAAAAGGCTTGTGAGTTTTCAGATCAACCTTAGCTTCCTTAAGCTTTGCAAACTTATTTATTTATTTATTTATTTATTTATTTATTTATTTATTTATTTATTTATTTTATTTGTTATCAAACTTGTATGCCGCCCATCTCCCCCAACGGGTGACTCTGGGCGGCTCACAATAATAAAAAAGAAAAAACACCAATCCCTCCAACCATGGATAAAATCTATAAATAATTAAAAAACATATAATAAATAATTAAAAAACATATAATAAATAATTAAAAAACATATAATAAATAATTAAAAAACATATATTCATATGTTACCTGTGGGAAAGGAGAGGATGATTTTTTTCTGATGCTTGTGAATTTCTTTAATCCCTTTCCTGAAGGCCATGAGGGAGGGGGCACACTGGATCTCAGGAGGCAGGATGGTCCATAGGGCGGGAGCTGCAGCAGAAAAGGCTCTCTGTCTAGACCCCACCAATCAAAATTCCTTGACTGGTGGGCTCTACAACCTGGCCCTTCTGCTGGACCGAGTGGGGCGGGCTGAAATGACCGGGGCAAGGCGATTCCTCAGATAACCTGGTCCTGTGCCATGAAGGGCTTTAAAGGTGATGACCAACACCTTGAATTGGACCTGGAAACAAACTGGTAGCCAATGCAGCTCACGCAACAGCAGTGTTATACGTGCCCTCCTAGATATTCCTCCTATTCCTAATGAGGAATATCTATAGAAATTTAAAAAAAGATAAACAAGAATCCCTTCAGATTGTCATCCAATCATGAGGACAGTTATCTGTGGGCATTTGGTCTGTTTGTTTGCCACTTAAAGCAAACAAAACATTACTAAGGTGTCAATGATC